GTGTGTGTGTGTGTGTGTGTGTGTGTGTGTGTGTGTGTGTGTGTGTGCGAGTGTGTTTGTGTGTGTGAGTGTGTGTGTGTGTGTCTGTGCGTGTGTGTGAGTGATGGATGACACAAAATGGTTTGTTTTGTTTTGATTTCATGCAGCTGCTAATGTGCTTGCTTTTGCTCTGTTTGCCTTCATGCCTGGTGTGCTCACCAGAAAGTGATTTGTGTGTGTGTGTGTGTCTGTGTGTGAGTGTGTGTGTGTGTTTGTGTGTGTGAGTGTTTGTGTGTGTGTTTTTGTGTGTGCATTCTGCGAGTTCTCCGCCCGTGGTTGCCCCCGACTACAAAGCACACAGAGACAGAGGGGCACTGAGGCGAGGCTCATGAGTAATTCCCCTTCCTGGACCCACTCCAGCTCTCTCGCTGAGCCCAGAGAGGCAAAGGAGGAGAAGTTAAACTCTTGTTTGCCATTCACGCTGACACCGACTCTCACCCTGCTGCGACTGCCTTTTGGCTGCGTCTGATTAACTCATTGACTGCCGGCCATTTTCAGAACAGAGAGTCCCATACTGCCAGAGTTTTGACTGATTTTTCAAGAGCCACAGAATAGTTTGTGCTATGACTATGTAAACACCGAACACACCAAAAGAAAGAGTAGACTCTCTTCTTTCATCAGGAAAAAAAATGTGTTTATAGCTTATTCCGTTCTTCCTCGACTTGCGTCTCACCGGTGACATGTTCTCTCATAGCGAACCGTTACCTTTTTCTTATTTGCCTACAGTCTATGCTCATCTCCCATCAAAAGTGGCACTGCTACCTAGAGGGTCAATTTGTTACTACATACTCTGTCTAGAAGCCTGATATTTACGGAAAAACTTTAGCCGATCGTGCCCCAAGCCACTCACGTTGAAAAACATAAAAGACATTTATAGACGTCTTTGGCAGCGAATGAGTTAATTCTTCATGGAAAGAAAAACGCCTGCCTGTCTGCCTGCATTTTGCTCGTTTCCCGTTCGCCTCTCTCCGTGTTTGTACCTGTGTGTGTTTGTCCCTGCAGCACATTGGCCCGGCCATCCCCGAGGTGAGCTCCATCTGGTTCAAACTGTACCTGTACCACGTCACCGGCCAAGGCCCGCCCTCCCTGCTGCTGTCCAAGGGCTCCAGGCTCCGCAAGCTGCCCGACATTTTCCAGGTGAGCCCAAGCTGGGGATTAATCCGACACGGTGGTGAAAAGTGTCGGAAAAATTAAGAAAACGAGAGAGAATCAGTTTAATGGCTGATGTGTGATAAGCCAATCAGCAGGGGGTCAGGTAGAGGAACAGCTGTCCAGCTGTTATTTCATAACTAAAATCTGCGGTGCATCATATTTCTGAGTCAGCTTACACTTGCAATTTCCTCTTCCAAAACTCTCAGACGCTTTCAGAATTTTAAAATTATCTTGAGAACGAGAGACTGGAAGCAAAAAGAAAGACCGCCACACTAAATTCTCCTGGGAAGACCGCTGTCATCATGCAAATGGTTCACTTTGGTTCATTTTTGTTCACTTTGGTTCACTTTGTGCGAACACAGGATCAAGTGTTGTTCCCCCTCCTGTCCACACGTCAGTGGAGTGTAAACGGCCAGACTCCCAGTTCTTTATTAAAGGGGACATATTATGCAAAAAACAAGTTTTTAATCAATTGATTATGTACATTTGGGACTGTGGAGGGCCTATCAGCAGGCAAAGTGTGAAAGA